ATGCAGGAAACCCGGCCCTTGTACACCCCAGCTGCCTCAACAATGGCTTCATCCTCCACATCAGAATCAATCTCATCCTCCCGAGTCAAGCCTAATTCCGCCCGCTTCTTCTCAACATTTGTGTGATACTTCGTCTACATGTACAAAATTTTTTAATTTAATTATACTCAATTCGATTTTCAATGGTACCAAGTAACAAAATAGATGTTACATACTTCGATTTCAGCGAGGCGGGGTGGAAGATCGGCTTCCGACTCATCGCCGTGCTTTGTCCAGCAGTGCTTAATGACCTTGAGAATTGAGACCTTCTTCTTCTCAGGCCCCGCCTATATATTTTGAAAAAAGGGCTTAAGATCCATAAATAAATGTAAAAATGAAGGGTTGTAAGAGTATAAGGATTTTTGAATAAGACTTACAAGATCTTCTTTATGTTTACTTTGAGGTTTGCGGCCCCCATGCCATTGGGTTTCCAAGGCCTTCTCGGACATCCGGTTTTTCTTACCGGATTGACTTCTTGCCAAGAAGTTCGGATCAGAAGACCAGTGACGGACGAGGTTAGCCCACACCTCATCCGAACACCATCCAGGCCTTACCCCGCTCGTTCGGGCACGCCTAAAAGTAGGACGAAGCCAGTTTGAAATTCTGGCGTTATACGCTCTAAGAATAGCAGGACCTTGGGCTTCAGTCCATCGAAACCGGCCCTTTATAAAAAACAAATAAATTAATTTATCTTTTATCAAATGTTACATTAATACAGTTTAGATGAAGAAAATTCATTTTTATACCTTGAACAGGTTCCACCAAAGTTCACGAACCTTGGGGTCAACTTCCGTGTATGTTGCCCAGTTACTAAGAAAGTGTCCTCCAATTATCAGTTTGATTTGGTCCAACACATCTTGATCGCTTCAAAAATTTAATAATATTTATTTATAAAAGTTTTGATTACATTATGTAAAAATTAAAAAAAAATATTTGATGTTAGATAAAATTCATAGTTACTTACTTGGCAACCATGTGAGGCGTCACCCAAAGCGCATTTTCATTGTTGCGCTCAACTTCGGTTATGGGCACATAGTTTGGACGGGCACGCGAGGTGGATTGTTCATTGCTCATCTAAAATATATTAATTTATATTTTTAAATGTTAGTGTAATTATAATAGAAGATAAGATTTTTGTAAAAGTTTTATTAATTGAAAATGTGTATAACATATTAAACTGTGTAGAAGTCTAATATGAGAAGTCAATATTTTTCCAATTAATTTTTTTGTAACTTTGATAAATACATTTTTGAAATGATTAGTCTTTAAGGTAACATATTAAACTGTGTATAAGTCTAATATGAGGGGTCGATATATTTTAAATTAATTTTTTATAACTTTAATACAATACATTTTTCCTGTAATTAGTATTTAAGGTAACATGTTAAACTTTTGCAAGTTTACATGAGGGGACGTATATACTTTATTTAAGGAAATTTACAATAAAAAATAGTTCGACTTATCAAAAACAGTTTTATCTAAAAAGTTATCTAAAAACAGTTTTATTTTTTTTTAGATCTAAAAACAGTTTTATAAAAAAACAGTTTTGTAAAAACTGTTTTATAAAAACTGTTTTAAAAAAAAATTATTTTGAAAATTTAAATATATGTGTTTTTTTTTACTTTTTATAAGGATGTTAAAAAATTCATTTTATTGCATTTTTCATACTATTTTTTAACTTTTTATATTTATAAAAACAGTTTTTTATAAACAGTTTTACAAAAAATGGTTTTATAAAACAGTTTTAGATAAAAACAGTTTTGTATAAACTGTTTTTATACAAAACAGTTTTATATAAAAACGGTTTTATTTATAAAAAGTTTTATAGAAAACAGTTTTATAAATTATAAAAACTGTTTTATAAAAACAGTATAATATTTAAAATACCAGTCTAATAAATTACTACACCTCATTTTTAGTAAACTTCATAAAAACTGTTTATTAATCACTTTTTGATTAAATCTGTTTTTATTAAACTGTTTTTTATTAAATTGTTTTTATCAAAATGTTTTTTATTAAATTGATTTTTATCAAACTGTTTTTTTATTAAACTGTTTGTTATCAAACAGTTTTTTATTAAACTGTTTAATAAAAAAACAGTATATTATTAAACTGTTTTTTATAATCTATATTTTATATTTTATTTCGGAAAACAGTTTTTAATGTCTAAATTAATATTTTATAATTAACATGTCAAACTTTTTTGGAAGTTTGACATGAGGGGGTATTTCTTAAATAATTCGGAAATAATAAATTTGATTGATGATAAAATAATGATAATCCTAACAATGTCTATATAATTCATGCATAGGTCCGAAAAAAAAGTTTGAAAAAACATGCATGTTGTGTTATCTTAAAATAAAACTAAATCATATTTAGGCATGCATATTAAACTTATACACAAAAAATCAAATTGAATCAAACTATATCTAAAGCATGCGTATTAGAAATCAAACAAAAAAGAAAAATTAAATTTTGAGCATGCAAATTAATATTATAATTCGAAATTAAAATAAAACTAATAATCATGGAGAGATTAATATTGAGCATGCAAATTAATATTGTAATGCGAAATTAATATTACAATATTACAAAATTAACAATGCAATGCGAACATAATAATAACATGCATTTGTGTGTATAAACGTAAAAACATATACACATATAATCATATCAAATGTATATACACATAAATATGTAATTGTAGAATAAATCATTAGGGCGTTCAATTTTCAATCATGCAGAGCATATAAACATGCATTTGAGTACATAAGCATGCATTTGTGAGTAAAAAATTAATTGAGAAAACATAACCTTGATATGGAGAGAGGTGAGAAAAAAGAGGAGTGCTGGACGACGGCAGTGGACGGCGGCAACCGGCAGCGGACAACGGCAGTGGACGGAGGACGGCTGATTGAGAAGAACGGCGGATGACAGAGACCGGCGGCAGTTGCTACGTCGACGGCGGCGCTGCTAGCGGAATTGGTATGCAGAGGTAGAAGGGAGAAGAGAGAGTAGGGAAGGGAGAAGGGAGAGAAGGGATCGATTTAGGGTTTGAATAGAAAAAAAATTCGCTAAGTGTTTGTTATATATAACGGCGTAGTCACGGACTTAGTCACGGAAAAATCCGTGACTAAACCCTTCGTATTCAACGCAATCAGGCCGCGACAGTCGAGGTGTCAGGGCCGCCTTTGACCGGCGTAGTCACGGTCAAATCCGTGACTACGGCCGTGACTAAATTCAAAATTTGAATGTAGTCAGTCTGAACCGTTGCAGTAACGACGGTTTAGTCACGGATATGTCCGTGACTAAGACCGTGACAACTTAAATTTTTTACTATAAATAATCCTTCTCCGGCCCAAGTAAGAACGGGGTGGAAAAAAGATGGCTAATAGAGATCCAATTGACTTAGATTCTATGTGTAGAAGTATAAAACGACTTAAGCTAATTACACAGCTTATGGAGCCGAAAACCGTTGAAGCATACGAGAGAATCAAGGAGTTGATGTCTAGACCCCTTGAAAGTTTTGGTGATTATAAAGATGAGGAATCCGACTCATTCGGTAAATCAAGAGCAAAAACCTTGTGTCGGATGCTTCAACGTGCACAAGAATGTTCGGAGTATATGGACCCGATCAACGAAGAAGCTCGAAGGAAAATTCAAGAGTTGTGGGCTAGGCCTCTTGAAAGTTTCCGATTGAGGAATGAATAATGTTAGTTAGGTTAATGTGATAAATAAATTGTGTGTTATGTACTTATCTTTTAAATTTGATAAATAAATCTGTGTTAGTTGTTTATTAATATCTAAATTTATTATAATATTCAGATTAGTAAAAGTAAATTACTTTTTTTTTTAATTTTCGAATTTTGTTAATTTAATATACTTAGAATTATTAAAATTAATTTTCGAATTTAGAATTATAAAAAAAATATTAAAATTAATTTTCGAATTTAGAATTATTAAAATTAATTTTTGTTACATGGATATAATATGGAGTAATTTTAAATTTCGTATTGTGGAAATTTTAATTTTTAAACTTCAAATTGTTAATAATTATATTTTGAATATATAATATGGATATAACAAACTTGTTGTTGTTGAATTATTATGGAGTAATTTTTTGTTCATAAATAATAATGATGAAGAAAAAAAATCAAATATTGTTGGAGTAATATAATGATGAAGAAAAGAGCACAAATATTAGAAGTCAATAAAATTGAAATTACAACAACACAATTATTCGCTATCAGAATCGTCATTTTCTACGTATACAGTATCTTCTTCTGTATCTGAACCGTCTATCCATTCACTTTCTTCCTTATATTGAGCGTTTTGTTGTGCTACATACATTTCCTCAATTTCGCGCTCAGATGGAATGGTTAGGTTCGGAAGGTGCGTTTCGGGCATGATTTCAACATGTCCGCCATTTGGATCACTTAATTGGACGTTATAGTTGACCGTCTCAACAATAGGCGGAGGGTGAAAAAATTGTTGCTGAAAAGCATCTAGATCAACGTCCTTGTGTTGAGTTTGTGATTTAATTTTGTTCGGACGGATAGGACATGCACACACCCAAGGATTCAGTGTCCGCCTTGTTGAAGGATATTCTGCATAATAAATCTGCGCTGCTTGTTGGGCGAGTATGAAAGGCTCATTTTTCGGGTACACACGAGAGTGGTTGACGTCAATCATATTATACTTCGGATTTTTGCGCACGCCACGTGTGGGGTCGACCCATGTGCAACGGAACAGAACACATGTCAATTTTTTCGCACCAGAAGGCATCTCAAGTTCCAGAATCTCCTGCAGGACACCAAAAAAATTGGTTTCCGAGTTATCATAACTGATGGTCGGGACACATAACCCGCTGTTCGTTGTTGGTCGGCCCTCTCCGTAATCGGCTGTGTGATATGTGTAACCGTTTATCACATATTGCCGCCACACTTTGGCACTGGCACCTGGGCCCCACGCTAATGATACTAACAAAGGGTCGACAATCCCACGACTATTGATCTGTAAATATAAACATGATAATAACATTAGGTAAATATTGAAAAAACTTACTTAATAATATATATAATTAATGTGTGTATATATATACCTGATACTTGTACCAATTTACAAAATCAGAGTCCACCAATGCATCAATTTCATTCTCAGGAAAGGCTGATAAAGAAGCTCGGAATTCACTGTGAAGTCAAAAATTAAAAAAAACTATAAATTAACTACAAATTTAATTGATAAGTATTACAATTATAACTACAAATTTAACTTACTGATAAAACGGTGAGATTTCTGGACAATTCATGAGGATATAAGTATGTGCAATTTGCAATTCCCCACCCAGGATGTATCGTTGTGTCGCAGCACCTTTACCTCTGCCTGGGTAATTGAAGATGGAAACTACATTTTCATATAAATCCTCGCCAATGTCATCGTTCCGGGCAGGTCTCTTCCTTCTGGTGATGATGTCACGCTCGAAGTAAAAAGACGAGAACGTTGAGATTTCTTGTTGAAGATACGCTTGACAAATTGAAGCCTCAACGTGTGCCTTGTTGGTCACTTTCTTTTTCAGCTCTCCTAGAAATCTGCAATAATGCAATAATACACATGTTAACAGTTATTGTGAAATAATTATTCTTTTTTTAAATGAAATTGTGACTAACCTTTCAAATCTGTACATCCAGCGATAGAAGACGGGCCCAGCAGTCAAAGCCTCATACGGAAGATGTATTATGAGATGTTCCATTGTATCGAAAAACGATGGAGGCATTATTTTTTCCAGATTACACATCAGAATGGGAACAGACTCTTGTAGTCTCCGGAGGGATGCCGCATCCAAAACGCTGGAACATATCGATTGAAACAACAAACTGATTTCAGTAATGCAGGACCATACGTGTTCAGGGAGCATCTCTTTTAGTGCAATTGGTAGAAGTCTTTGCATTATTACATGAGCATCGTGAGTTTTCATGCTCGCCGTCGTGGTAAGTTTGTTCATGTCTACGCATCTAGACAAGTTGGAGCAGTAGCCATCTGGAAACTTCTGAGACGCAAGCCATTGTAATATTGCTGCCTTTTGTGGTTCTGTGACCTGGTAGACTACTTTTGGAACTTCCTTGCCCTGATATTCTAGATCAACAGAAAGTTCGGGTCTATCACACCAAATAGTCATATCTTTCCTAGCTGCAAGACCGTCTTTAGTTTTGTCTTTCAAATCCATCACCGTGTTAAATATATTGTCAAAGACGTTCTTCTCAGTGTGCATGACATCTAAATTGTGACGGATGAGAAGGTCTTTCCAATAAGGCAACTCCCAGAATATGCTCCTCTTTGTCCACTTATGGGTATCACAATACCCATATGGCTCTTGGTTTGGCTCTTCCATAGCCGTAGGAAAACGTCGAACCCGGTTATAAATTTCTTCACCGGTCAATCTCGGGGGTGGGCTCTCTCGTACCATTCTGCCTCTAATGAATGACTTCTTGTCCTTTCGATATCGGTGCCTTTCCGGGAGAAACTTGCGGTGACAATCAAAGTAACTTCCTTTTTTGCTGTAACTGAGCCAGTTGGCACCTGATTTCTCCATGCATATCGGACATCCCATCAAACCGTCTGTGCTCCATCCCGAAAGCATGCCATAGGCAGGGAAGTCGCTAATGGTCCAAATGATGGCAGCTTTCATGATAAACATTTTATCTGATGAAACATCATAAGTTGGTGTCCCAACGGCCCACAGTTCTTTCATCTCCTCGATAAGGGGTTGGAGATAAATGTCTATCTTTCGCCCAGGATCCTTGGAACCCGGACAAATTAAAGACAAAAAGATGAAATGACTTTTCATGCACATGTCGGGAGGGAGATTGTAAGGAGTTAACATGACCGGCCAACATGAATAGTTCTTCCCAAACCTGCCAAAAGGAGCAAATCCATCTGAGCACAATCCCAGCCGCACATTTCGTGGCTCCATAGCAAACTGAGGATGGCAACGGTCAAAGTGTCTCCAGGCTTCACAGTCCGAAGGGTGAGCCATCATACCGTCGTTGGTTTCGTGCTCAACATGCCATGTCATGTGTTTCGCAGTAGCAGTCGAAGCGTACATCCTCTGCAGTCGAGGAGCTATTGGGAGGTAATACAGTTTAGACAGTGCAGACCTATGTCGTGGTTTCTTTTTACCTTGACGAACAGGTTTGTATGTGTCTCCACCACAGAACATGCAGAACTCAAGTGCCTCGTCCTCTTTCCAGAACAACATACATCCTTCCGGGCACGCATCAATTTCAACACAAGGTAACCCCAGCTTAGACATTAACTGCTTCATGTGGTAATATGAATCGGGAAGGGTATGATCTCGCGGTAGCATCCCTCCTACTGACTGCAAGACTCTATTCATGCAAGTTTCAGGGAGACTGTATTCGGCTTTTATGTTCATGAACTCAGTAACGGCGGATAGCTGAGAGTATCCCTCACAATCAGCATATAGAGGTTGGTCGGCAGCTTTTAGAACATCCTGAAATCTCTCAGCCAAATCTTCATCCACATAAGGTTGATAAAATGTCGGATTTTCATCCGCATGTGGTTGATACGAGGTTGAGGCTTCAGGGGGGTCGTTAGGATGTTGTGGGGGGTTGAACTGAGACGGTACACCGTATGCGTCATATACCATTTGTTGGTCCCACCTCATTTCAGCACGGTCTCCCCACGCACTCATCTCTGGAGGGACGTAACGAGACGAACCTACCGTTTGTGGTATAACAGATGGATCCAAAGGTTCGCCGTGAGAAGTCCAATTATAATAATTGGGAACAAAACCGACCGCGTACAAATCATACCCAACTTCGTGTGGGTCTTTAAATTTGAGATTTTTACACTTTGAACATGGACATCTTATTTTATCACCACTCATATAAGCCGGATGTTCAAGTGCAAATTCAATAAATTCGCCGACTCCCCCGAGAAAATTTGATTGCATTCCGTACAATACCGCATCTTTATCATACATCCAACTTCTATTTTGTTTATACATTATGCCTGAATATTATAATAAAAAATTATATGAAATGCAATGCACCCAATTTTAAGTAATTAATTTCACTAAATAATCAACTAATTTTCACTAAATTAAATGAAAGGCACACAATTCACAACAATGATGCACAAAATATCAGTAATTACCTAATGCTTAAATTTAACTAATATTATAACACTACATTTAAATTAAACATAAATTTAACTAAATTTAACTAATTCATTTAGTTAAATTTAACTAAATTTAACTACTTCATTCCGTCCTATTTTAATGCATCACTACGTTTAAACCTACGTTTAGCTAACTAATTTAACATAATTAACACATCACTAGCTACGTTTAAACCTACCTTTAGCTAACGAATTTTAATTAAATTATTTTTGTAAACCTACATTTAAACCTACACTAAATTATTACATTAATGACATTTAATCTTATTAGTACTACACAATTAACAATTCACTAAATTAAATAATATGACCAAATTAATCCCAATAATTTGAACATGTAAATAAAGTCATTTGAATTAATAAATAATACACAATTACAATAACAATTCACAATACACTTAATTAACACATTACTAACGTACGTTTAGCTAACTAATTTTAATTAAATTATTTTATAAACCTAACAGTTTAACTAATTTTATGACATTACTACGCTTACAGTTGAATATGTTGTTAATTAATTAACAACCTCACTAATTTAATAGTTTTAATAATTTAAATTGAACCAACTAATTTTAAATAAAAATAATAATTCAAATAACATACCTTAACTGCATAAACGGGGAAACTGATAGAAGACAGACTACATCATTCGATCTTTCAAACAGATACTGTATATACTGGGAATGAATTGGTGTGGTTCTGTTGAATGAGCTGCTCCTACATATATAAAAAATTTAGTCACGGACTTAGTCACGGATTTGTCCGTCACTAAGAAAAACCGTGTCTATTACGCGTCCAACCCGTGTTAATGACGTGTAAATGACGTGTTAATCACAGTAGTCACGGAAATAGTCACGGATATGGCCGTGACTAAAGTTATCCGTACATAATACCGTTGCAAATTGATTTGTGGGAGATGGAAATTAAATTTTAATCATAGTCACGGCTTTAGTCACGGATGTGGCCGTGACTAAGTCGCCGGAGTAAAACAAGCCAGGCTGGAAAATCAAACGGGCCAATCGGAGGATGTTAGTCACGGACTAAATCCGTGACTAAGTGTAGTCACGGTCGTAGTCACGGTAAAATCCGTGACTAATTTTTTTTTTAAAATTCCGTGACTAGTCCGTGACTAGTGTAGTCACGGACCAAATCCGTGACTACGGTCCGTGACTAAACGCGTGTTTTTTTGTAGTGGGGCAGCAGGGAAGCGGACAGTTTTGAAGTGAAGAAATGGACCGGTCTGGAAGGATGAGCAACTCGTGAGACGGCAGTAAGGCAATACGCAGAAGCAACTTTGCAGAGATGGCAGGAAGCTTAGTTAATCCTGTTACAGTGGCTCAGAAGGTAGGATAAGCCCGAGGGTGGGGAAATGGCAACGTTCGCAAGTAGAATGGATTAACATAAGCATTGATGGGGCAGTAAATGATACCAAAGAAACCAGGGCGTGGGGCTGGATAGCTAGAGACGCGAAAGGAAAATTTTTGTGTGGAAGGAGAGTGTAAGGATGCTCAGTAAACATGCATTGGGACTGAGAGGAGCATTATTGGGCGCAGTTCAAGAAGGATGGCAACTATGGCTGGACTCGGGCCGGGGCCCGGCCGGACCTCGGGCCAGAAAATTAGGGCCAAAGCCCGAACCGCCGGTGGCCGGTTCCGGTTCCGGTTCCGGGCCAAACCGGGCCGGGCCGGGCCAAACCGGTCCTTTTTTTTGTCCTCCTATTTAACCCCCTCCCCCTCAACCCCAAACCACCCCAAACCACCTCAAATGGCCCAAAATACCTAATCCAACCCAAAACTTAAAAAAATTTCAAAAAAAAAAAAATTAAAATCCGGCCCGAACCGGCCGGGCCGGTTCGCCTAAAGCAGGGCCCGAGCCCAGACCGCCCATCACCCGGGCCGGGCCAAACCGAACCGCTGGACCCACCGGGCCCCGGGCCGGGCCGGGCCAAACAGTAACCGGGCCGGTTCCGGGCCGGTTCCGGGCCGGTTCCGGGCCGCCCGGCCCGAGTCCACCCCTAATGACAACAAGTTGAGATTGAGACAGATGCATTCACAGTGATTCGGGACATTAAAAAAGGAGACAGGTTGTCCTACTTAGCATTGATTTTGGATGACATTAGACCTCTTCTCAAGCAACATATTACTTGAGTAATATGATAGAATGCTTTACCAAAAAACCAATCTAGTGAGTATGAAACTCATTTCACTCTTTCCGACACATTATATTCGCAACCCTTAAAAAATTCTAAAACAACCTTCACAGAACGAATGAGTCTGCTTAATAGCACTAATTATTGGATTCATTCAGCACATTCAAATAGATGTGGATATGTTAGAGTCAATAGAAGTTCAACAGTTGTAATGAGCAACTCTTTTATATTGGTATTGTAAAAACAACTCTTTTATTTTGGTCCTTAGTCCTTACTGCAAAGAACTAAAAGAAGTACAGAACAGATTGAGTGCTATGAAAGTATGGAACAAGTATCATTCACATCCAATTTTCTCAATATCAACAGCCAACAGGCATACTTTGAGATGTAGTTTTTAGTTTCTCAGTCATCTCAATTGCAACCGACCTAAATTGCGTACACACACACACCTGAAAAGACAGCATCAAATGCCTAATTTCCAAGAGGTGCCAAACAACATCCATTTCCAAATCTCGAACAATAGATGATGAATAAATATTTTAAAAACTATAAATATATAAATAATATACACTAGTAAAAGTTGCATGCATACAAGTCATAAGCATACTAGTATATTATAATACAGTATAAAGATCATCATAAATACTATCACCTCTCCCTGCTGCAATGTACTTCACTTCAGAGCTCTGTTGGAAAGGACCCCCAGTGGTGCCTAAGCTCTATTGCTTTTTAAGAACCACAAAGGTGATACCTTTTTAAAAGGGGCTGATCCATCGAGCCAACTTTAACAAAATCTCAGGAGCAAGTCGTGTTCTTGGCGGTGCGCTAGCATCCCGATCTAAAGCTTCTTTGTCACCAGCGTGTATTAGGGCAACCACGTAGTCAAAAAGATCATCTTTGCCACCTCTTAGTGGATCCTGTGTAATGAGACAAATTTCAGGCAGTAAGATTATCAGATGTTTTAAACAAGTACTTCAAAAGTATATATAGAACATGAGGTCATCCTTGCTGGAAGCAGGTATGAACATAACTAGAGGTTTTGGTATTCTTCAACAAAATTTGGGGGAAAAAAGGAAAAATGGTTTTCATTTTCATGTTTACTCTTATTTGAATTTTCCTTCTCTGACTTCCAAAACAGGAGTAATAATTCATTAACAACTATTTTGGTGAACCAAAAAAGTTTACAGCAAGAATTGTATGAAGAATTAAATATTTAAACTACCTTTAAAATTATTTCGAAATCCTCATGCAAATACATACGAGCTTATCTTTGTGGTAGAGAAGGGGGGTCATAATGTCATATTTAATTTACTATTGGTAACTAAAAACCACCATTATCAAAACCATGTGAAAATTTTGGTCTAGAAAACAAGCAGATAAAAAACTGGTTTGGCTACATTGATAGTTGAAAGGGACAGACGAAATGGAAGTTGCAATACTAAAATAGAAAAAAATGCTCTTCGCTTTTAAAAGAATGGTGGAAAATAGCTTAGACTGTGGGGAAGACTAATATGATGAAGAGGTACTTTGAAAAGCCTGTTTTAATTTCTTTTCTCCTCCAACTATAGTTTTCAAATTGAAAATGAGAGTGGAAAAATGGAGAGTATTTGTCCATACTAAGCATGCAGTTAGTTTCCAAGCCCATAGATGCATCTCTTAAATGGGATGATTTAAATTACTGGCAAGATGCATCTCCTATTAACTCAATAGTATCTCCCTCAGTCCCACTTTGTAAGCTAAAAATATCACTTTTCCTGATTTTATTTCTATCTTTTCACCTTTGGCTTTTTGACCTCGTACTACTTTTCTTCTTTTGGGGGGGATGCAATCGTAAAATAACAACTATCCTCTTTGTTTTCCAAAAATCCACTACAAATCCAAATGCATCTTACATTATGACAGAGAGAGTATAATTTTTGTATCAATCAGGATAGATTTCAGAAATGGAGGGTCTTGAATCTACATAATCAATTTAGAATATAGACATACTTGAAGAAACAAATCTGTATGGGTTTTCCCCTCATACAATATCAGTTCTGCTCGAGCCCCTACTCGCAAAAGGGTATTCAAAAATCTTTTACTGCACAGAGGGAAAACAAGACATTATTTTGATTTAAAAAGTAACAACATTCATAAAAAACAGTACTTAGAAATCAAGCTTCCAACAAAACAAAAGTTGCCGACAATGCTGTTTAAATGCATACATAATCAACTGATTAAATTTGTTCACAGGTAAGTGACCATTTTGCGATCCAACAAAGTAAAACATAGTAAAAATGACAAAGTCGCCCCTCACATTTTTTTATTTGTTACTTTTAATACCTACACATCAATAGGGGATTGTCAATTTATGAGAAAACTAATTACTGTCTCAAAAACCACAATGTTTCATTAATGGACAGTAATTTGAGAATAGAGGGAGGAGTATGTTGTAAGAAAAAGGACGATGGTACTGCTCTTAAGTTAGATGTATACAGACCTTTCTTGACAAGGTATGGACTTATCTTCAGTACCATGGAAAAGGATAATGTGAGGCAGCAATGACACTGCAGCCTTATCGCTTGGATCCTGCACCAAAGCTTCTGGGGAGAAGCTTTGCAATGACTCTTCACCTTCCATTATACTGTAATAGTATTAACCATGTCAAATTCTTCAGTTGTAGCACAATGCAAAAAAAAAAAAACTGAGATTCCAAAGTATAAACTAAGGGAACATTTTGTAAGGGTTATTTGGCTGAAGGGAAAAGCATACAGTTAATCGATTGCAACCAAAAAAGCAAATCAAATACTACTTATGCTTATTCTGTTTACTTTGAAAACTGCTTCTGACAATATCACAATAAAGTTAAGCCGCTTTCAAATTCAACGTTTGGCTGTAGAATAATAATTACTGACCTCAAAAATATAGAACGGTATAACCCTCTACCATGGAAGTGATCAACTAAGTTCGGTAAACTATACCTGTCCACATAAAAACAGTGTCTCATTAGGTTAGTCGCTATAAAATCATTCTTTTTAATTTGACAGAATTGAAGGTATATATCTAGTCTAATATATTTTCGCTCCAAATGGGAGCGCAAGCAAGGCATATGCAGATATACTAGAACTCTAGAAGATTAATGGACATGAAACTTGCCCCCCAGATGAGCCAAAATAAGCCTTAATGAGCAAAACGCTCCAAGAAACCATTTCCCCTCTTGCTTCTTTAATTGCCTGCTTCACAAGAACACATGAAGAAATATGTGCACCAGCAGATTGACCCATGAGATAAATTCTGCACAAAGAAGTGGGTTATGACCTGTTCAAACTTTTACACCATTTGAATCTTTTGAAAAACATCACCACAATTTTAATGATCAATTGATGCTTCTTCACCACATGGATATGTGTACCATTCCCCAAGATTTTGCATCGTGAGATTAAAACTACCTGTTTGGATCACCTCCATATTCAGCAATATTGTTGCATATGAATGAGATCCCCTCAGAAACATCTTCCACCATATCACCTATCGTTCCCTGTGGAAAATTTCTAAATCCAATACACGCATCAGTCAGGAGCAGATTCAGTGGGGGGCAATCTGAGACCCGGTCCATCCCCAGTTTGGTCAAATAAAAATGCAGTTCAAATCTTTTGCTACAAAAAATCATATGAATGCGTTTATATTTGGCATTTTGGCCCAACTCAAGTCTGAATATTGGGGAGTCCTGGCTCCATCCTTGCACCAGATGAGCAAGGATGTAGTTAGGGTATAGAGAGAGAAAAGTGTCTTTTCATAATTTCTTTTAACCCAACAACAGATATGAGGAATAAGCTAAACCGAAGTGGTAACAAACTAAAATTCATCTTTGATGTATGAAATGAGAAAATGCATAACAGGAAAGGAATTATGAAATAATCTGAGCATTTGCATCTGAGTAAATATATACATAAATATGGACGGCAGTTTCCTGAATTGCGCATAACGTTACCTGTAATCAAGACACGCTACTATGATTTCACGTTCAGATAACTGTTTCCCCAAGAGAGAACCCCATGCTTTGTACCTACACAATAATCAAAGATCGGATTGATCTTTACATATTCGATATTTTTATACATAAAAGCCTCTCTTTACCTCATACACGAACAGCTAAAGTGGATTTGCAAAAAATATCATTTTACTTCACATTACATCTAAGTTGTATATGTTTCTCAGATAATAATGACTTAATGGGTGAATTGGATTCAAACATTCTTACCCAATAATCCATGCCCCACCAGTGACAAATACTGCAACCGGCTTTGAACCATTTCTATCAGTTGGTAAATATAAGTCCAATCTGCGCCCCAAGATTTAGTAAAGATCGGTGCAAGAATGTGGATATAATACAAAAAAGGTTTTCAACCTCTGACCTATTTCTTGGTTGACTCCCATAAACAACACTTCTTCGTACATTGGGTGAGAAGAAGTAATAAAACGCAACTGCCAAAAACTAAAACATTAACTAATGGATATAACATCTTGTATATTTATGATGTGAAACAGTGAAAGTGAAGAATAATTGATAATAAACATAGTACGGAGTAATAAAAAAAATAACAGTATACATACTTTGGAGAAATCCAGGCATAAGCAGCATAGCGTATATACCAAGAGCAAGAAGTCGTGTAATCCAACGATAACCTACCCTGAGAAAGGGAAGTGATTAAATTTATCATGAAACTGAAGTAGCTCACCAGGTGCCAAGGGATAACCATTTTAGATTACCCTACTACTTTTTATATTTATTGGCTAATGCTAGTAATTTAGCTTGCACAGTAGAGACTCTAGAGCCATACTACTATCCTCGTAAACATTGAAATGAAGCAACATGGACCTCCCTTACTTCAAATTTTCATACGTAGTATATCCTTAATGAACTTCAATTTGATAGAAAACATAAGAAATTCAGAATTATTCAACTTAATTCATTTCAAATGTAGCCAGCTATGACTTTTTCCAATAGCCGGACTCTGAATAGCTATGTAATCATTGAAAAAATATTTAAAGCATTTAAAGTAAATGACATTGAAGATTAGTAATTCAAGCGTATCATTGTCATCCATAGAAAGATAGTGATTGAGGGCACTGCACCAAACTATACTGTTTTTATTAACACAGAAATAGAATTCTTCAAGAACATCCACACTGATTATGGAGTAAACATAAATATTCAAACAAATTGAACTTCAAGCACAACAAAATAAAATTTACCCGAGATAGCTAAGAAGCTTGAAGGAAAGACGAGTGATCAAATAGGTCTCGGCGGCTGCATGGCCAAAGTCGCGGCTAAAGGAAGATTGGCGGGCGGGGCGACATGGGGCAGACACCGTCTTGGCAAGAGGTTTTCGCCTCCTCTGTTTGTTAGCTGAAAGGCCGGCGGGAAGGCTCGAAACCCTCGACATCAATGGCTCACGCGTATCCTCTTTCAGGTCATTGGCAAAAGACTCCAAACTCGCCGGGTCTAGGCGTGGAGCCTTTTCCATCTCCGGCAAATTGAATGCCGAAATTCAGATGTGAGATAACCCTCGAAGAATCAGATTCCGGCGACTGATATGGATGGGCAGACAGGTCGGTTGAGGATTGAGATGCTGCTCTACGACGGAAGGATCAGTGGATGTCGGTTTGGGTACAGAGGTTCTCTGTTTTCAACATTCTGCACCCAGAACGCTGATGTAACACTGGGATGCGTGCTTCAGGCATGTCAAATTGTCAATGGGTTGGGTAGACCCGGACCGGACTCAGACCCAGTCGTTTTTAACGGGTATGGATCTTTATTTTATTCCGTTTATCTGGATTCGAACCAGGACCCGTTAGTACTTTTAATAAACGGGTCGGGTATGATACATATGATCCCGACCCGTTGACCCGGATCCGTTTAAAATTTCTTATTAGTATACACACACTAATGCATAAAGAGATTAGTTATAATAATTCAAATAAAAATACAAACTAATATATATAAAGTGATTAGTTTTAATTCTTTGATTAAAAAGAAACAAATTAATACATACCTAATGTATAAGTGATAATATAATAGTATATAACTATATAATATACTTTTTAGTCCAAAAGAACTTTTTATGACCTAATTTCTAGTCTAATATACGAGTTTTTTGTGGGAGAGAAAGAGACACATGCAAAGTGCGGAATTGTACGCATCTACAAGAACCGATATTTTATTAGATAAAAGTACTAATTTTCTATGATAAATCTTGAATTTAATTACCATTAAATTAAAAAAAAATTTATAATAAATCCTAATTTTTTTTTAAAGTGAAGATATATTTTTCTTTTAAATTTGTGCACTTTCATTTACATTTCATATACATGTTTTGCTATTTTTAAAAAATTATATAATGTTTTGTCAAAAAAAATTTATATAATGTTGTGCATATGATACTTGGCGGATCTACCCGACCCGGTTTCAAGACCCGTTGGGTCAGGGTCCAAATTTTTAGACCCACCGGGTAAACGGGTCGGGTCCGGGTCCTTTATTTACTTAGCGGGTCCAGGTTTGGAACACTACGTTCTGACCTGGACCCGACCCATTGACAGGTCTAGTGCTTCGGCTTTCAAAAATATAAAGAGAAATTCCCTCATATAGGAGTAAACTTTGGGAGAAATTCTTAAATAGGAGTATGTATGTTTTCTTCTCAAAATAGGAGCATATTACTCCTATTCAAAACATATGTGCTTTTCAATTCCATTATTACCCTTACTTTCCGCTCACCGTCTTTAGCTCCCTCCTTTTTGGGCACCATCGATCTTCTCTCCTTCTCCATCGACCAGTTTTTTCCTCCCAGCAAAGATTCATTGGCTTCTCAGCAAATCAGACCAGTCGACTTCTTCTGTTGCTGCTAACTCCACTGGACGCTGCCTACAAATCAGGTTTCTTCTCCTTCTCTTCATCTTCCTCCTCCTCCTATTGTTCTATTTTTCAGAATTTTTTCTATTTCTATTTTTTTTAGTTTTGGCATTCAATTCATTGATTTTTGGACTTCTATTTTGTATTTCCACTTTAAAATTTCTCAATTTTTCCTGATTTTCTCAATGTTTGGATGATGGCATAAATTTTTGCCAAGTTTATGGCAGAAATTTATGGCATTTTTGTGAATTTTTAGTTGTCGAGTTCATATTTTACCAAGATTATGGCATTTTTGTGAAACTCTGCCACAAAAAACCTGCCAATATTTTGACGGATTTAAAAATTCATTTTTATGGCAGATTTGTAATTAATCTTCAAGGGTAGCGATGGTGGCAGTTTTAGTCGGCGGAGTAGGTTGGGCTGCGGTGACGGAGTTGGAAGTTGGCGGCGGCGGCCGATAGCTATGGATGTTGGACGGAGATGGATGGCAGCATCGGTATGGGAGGCGGAGGTGAGCAACACCGGTTTGGGAGGCTGAGGCAGACAACACCAGCGACGTCAGTGCGACACCACTGAGGGTCGCTAAAGTTCTGCGCCAACGTTTTTTCTGACTCTTCAACGAGCCTTCAATTTCAACTAGCTTACGCAATTTACAAGAAGGTTATTTTTGTGAACTTGGTCTTAAAAGGCTCCTATCAAACATAAGCTACGCATACTCCTATTTTGGCAAAGTATAAACTTTTTACTCCTATATTGGTAATTAACGAGGAAATTACCAATTTACGGGAGTTTTGGGACTGACAAGCCAAAATACGGCACTTCAGTTTAGGTTACCAAAATAAAAAAACCTAGTCGGAATTGTGTAATCCGACTAGGGGGTGTTCGAAATTTTTTATTGTTTCCATTATTTTATTTGTGTAATCCGAAGGAATTAAAAAAAAAAAAAAAAAAAAAAAAAAAAAAAAAAAAAAAACTAGTCGGAATTGTGTAATCCGACTAGGGGGTGTTCAAAATTTTTTTATTGTTTGCTTTGATATTATGCTGGAAGGTACTCAAATTCATCCGCAATATATTGGATCTTTGATTCCAAGAAATACTTCACACAAACCAATATTACACGGAAAATTACTAGTTCATGGGTTTTGATAGAACTCATGTGTGTGTTGAAGACGCTAGCTCAAGTAGAAAACAAGGCACTTGAGTGAAATTTTATTTTGTTTTATTTTAAGAAATTTTATGAAATTTTAAGAAATTTTATAAATTACGCTATATTTTTTTTATTTTAAGAAATTTTATAAATTAAATTTTATAAATTAAATTGTTATTTAGAAGTATTTATTTTACCAATTTTTAACTCATTCAATTAGATAAGTTCACATTTTATAATATGACGCGTTTAAGTAATTTTTAACTCATTCAATTAGATAAGCTCACATTTTATATATTTATTTTTTGTAGTATATAATATTATTGAAATTTATGAATGTATCTATTTTGTATAGTCATAAACTCGGGTGAAGAGTCAGACGACCCAGACTGAATGCCTCGATGACATGGTGCTTTGGTCGGCTGAAGCCCAACCTTTTCTTTTTACATCCCTAACTCTAGTCGGAAGAGCCAATTCCGACTCCCGCTTTTTTGGAAACCCTAATATTTCCCCCGTAAATGGGCAAGGGATGTTGAGGATTTCCGTACTTGGGTAAATCACCCGGTAAAACACCCGCAAAACTGACTTATCCCAAATTCATTAAAAGACTTTTTATTATATGAGCACATCATGGAGAACTTCTGGAAATAAAAGTAAATAATCAACGAAAAATTTAAAAATATTGTTCCCATCTTGAAATTATCATATTTTGGCATTACTGCAAAATACTATGAAAATAATCTCGAACATAACCATAATTTCTCACCTTTCGAAGAGGGAATATAATACGGAGTACTTCAATTATAAAATTTCAAATTATATTTAATCTTATTTAAAACGTCTTATGATATACTCACTCCATCACACAAAATAGTTCCCAGTTTGTTTTGTATTAGAATATGGTTGTGGTTGAGTAAGAAAAAAGTAAATTACACTATAAAAAAGTTATGAGATTGGCACGAATTAAGCACGGATTTGGCATATCCCTGTCAATTATGGGGAATTCCTGCCAAAAGTATCTTTCAATTCCATATTTTTTTGTAAAGAAATAAATGTTAGCCACACAAAACTTTTCAAAAAAAGAAATGAGAACAATTTTTCAAAGAAAAGTGAGAACTATTTTGCGGGACTGATGCCTGAGGGAGTAAGTGGTTTTCAAAAAAAATGGAAAAATGTCAAATAGGCCCTCGAACTTACATAAAAATAAAATTATTACTCTAAAATATACAAATTATAACAAAATATAAAATGTATGTTAAGTTAAAATGACAATAAGCACACATATGATGCTTATTTTAGATGAATTATAACGATTTTATAAGATTCATTGATTTGTATATCCTGATAATAATTCTTAAGATACTGATGTAATTCTTTCTCTTCCATTTTGCAAAAATTAAACGGTCACGTAGAATCAACTTCATATATATATGATCGATTGTCATCAAACGGTCTTGCAACATCAAACATGTAATTATTTTGTTTATTTTCCAATATTGATGAAGACACAACAGGGTTTTAGAACGGTGCCAGCAGGGACATGCCAGGGTCGAGCGCGCAACGTTAGATGTAGTATTCAATTTATTATTGTATGTAGGTACTATCTATTTTTTATTAATAAATTACATTGAAAACTACATTTGTTTTGTTCACTTCCATTAAAATTACAAACATTGCAATTAAAACAAAATCAAATTTGTATTTTATTTTATTAATTTAATTCACAATATGCATGGGTTAAAAAATAAAATAAATGAATAAATGTTTGTTAACTCAAAAAATCAAAATGCATAATTTTCATTTTAAAAAAATGACACGATTTTTTTTAAAAAAAAACGTTTACATTCGTAATTAACAATTCCGATAGGAATTTAAAACTTTATTTGAAAAAACTTTATTTTAAAAAAACTTTATTGAGAAGTAATAATTGCACCTGGAATTTTAAAATAAAAAAATTAAAGTTACCCCTTGTCGGAAGTGGCATATCCGACTGGAGAGGGAACAATTTTTTCAAAACTCCTACCTCTGGTCGGAAGACCGAATTCCGACTCCCGCTTTTAAAGAAAACCCTAACTTTTCCCGTATTTTGGCAACACATGCGGAGGTTAAGGTCATTAAAAAATGAGGGATATAGACCAAATTGGACGTTAAGGTCATTATCAAATCTCAATTTTGACACTAAGCTTATTTTTTAACCAAAAAGGACATTACAAATAACTCTTTGGATCATTCAAGACACTAACCAACTAATCACATCTTAATATGGATCAAATCTATATCTATA